GGTGAATAATCACTCTCTTACAGCACGAGATTTAGGACACCCTGTGTTGTAAAACTAAATAAAGTAATTGCATAAAAAAAGTTGTGGAACTTGCTAAGAGGACATTTTTGATGCTGAAAATAAAAGTGGCTTCAAAACACAGTTGGACAGATTACTGGAGAACTGAAAGAACCAAAGGTCAAGGAACAATTTGCATCCAGTTCACAAAGTCTAATACAGCATCCAGAGCTGGGAAAAATACCAGACTGTATTTACCTTATACCTGCCTTAACGCTTGCTATGGGCAAGACTCATCTGTCTCGAGTGAATTTGGGGTGAAGAGGCCTGGAGAATGGTTGTATCAGATCCAACATAAAACGTATTTATCTTTTAACACTGAGAAAAGCCAGAACGTGTCTCAGGTTCTCCCCTTTGCCATCCATTTCACTTCATCCGTCAGAACACCACCTCAGCGCGACGTAACTGCGTGACACGTTTTGAAACAGTGGTCCCAACCCATTTCTTGCTCCCTGGCCATTCCACACATCCCCTTGGTGAGAGAGGTGACACACTAGGGCAAATAAGACTGAGATGGTGCTGCCTTTCCTACTGCAGTTGCAACTGTTCCAGGACCGTTCCTGTCTTCCCAAGTATGTACAGTTCTTTCCCGAATGCTAAGGAGCTAGGAAGGTGATACTGCTTTCCTCGCTTTATTACCTGTGCTCGTTCTTAATTACTCCCCTTCTGCCCCCCCCCCGAGAGCTTTCCTTGTAACTTCGTATTCAAAGAGTCTGCCTTGTACAACTGACTTCACTTTCTATTTGCAAGAAAAGAACAAAACCACAAGCTGAGTTTATCACCGATGTAAGCAAGACTGTTTAGCCACAGCGTTCTGTTAGCTGGTTACATAATTAGTCTCAGCTATGTCTTAAATGAGATGTATCGCTATCTGCTTCACATGGGACACAGAAGATTAAAAGGGTGTTTGCAAAAATTCCTGAAGTTAAATGATGAAGAATACCTCTCCGTGAAGGTTTTCTTTGGTTTTTATTTAAATACGTATGTTTCCTAATTGTAATTGATCCATTTTGTATGCAACTACTTATTTTAGATCAGCTCTTTAGATAAGCGTGAGCAACAACTGCTTCTGGTGGTTCATTTCAGACCTTTGTTTGTGATGGCAAGGACAGCCAGTGTTTCTTCTGAAATTCTACATCTTACTGTCACGGGCAGTCTTTCACCAATTCTGCTTTATTTCAGCTGCAACTGCCCTTGGTTCTGCATCCAGTTATGTCAAGTGTAAGGTAAAAATGCTGCCTGAAATGAAGTCCATCTTTTCCTTTAAAACTGATGATTAAATCAGGAAATTGGAAGAAGGAATTGGTTCATACAGGAAAAAAAAAAAAGGCAGGCAGGGACTGCTTAGGCATTGATCTAGCCCTTGGAACCCAAGTCGATACCCGAGTTGGGGACATCACTGTGGTTACCATTTCTGGTTGGTATACTCATTTTATGAAACGAAGCACTTTTGGGTCAGTTTTGCAAGGAAACCAAGAAGGTAAAGAATCACTCTTTCTTGTCACTAAGAATAAAGTGAAGGATGAATATATTTGTGGAAGACCAAAATGCTTAGTTTATACAATCTAAATAATCTGTAATTAGAAAGTGTTATTTGCTAATTACGTATTTCTTTTCTCTGTGTTTGGAGATAACTAAATGCAAGTTTGCTATGGTCAGCTCCGTATAGTGGTGGAAAACAATGCTACTGTAACGGACAGATCCCTCAACAACTGTAAACATCTACTTTGAGCTTGTAATTTATATTTACATTTAATCAATCAAATCCTTATGCTGGAATTTAAACTGCTCTAGATTGAGATTTCAGTTCTTTGTAAATTCATAAGCTGCTCTTGGGGAGCAAGGAGAAGCTATGAGTATTCCTAGTAAATGCTTGCTGGCCAAATTCCGCAGTCAAACAGGTTTCCTTCACTTGTACTTGGTGGGTAGGGAAAGGGGCAATGCCAGGGGAGCATGAGCACAGGTTTCTGGAGCAAACATAGATCTCAGTTGATACTTTCCATTACACACCCTTCACAAGACTCGAGTTCTTTGAAAAGGCTGTTGCAGATCTGTACTTCTTCCCCTTCCTAGCTTTGGTACTACAAAATATTTCTCGCTGCAGCGTGTACTTAGGTGTTACACCTGCCAACTCTTAAAAGAGGCAAAAGCTGTAAGATTCTTACGATGACACAAAGTATCATCTTAGTATCCTCTACACTTTTTACTGTAAAAGGAAAAAACACCCCTCTGCTTAATAAATTTATTTCTAAAGTTCCTAATGTACTGAAATTAACTGTTCAAATGAAACAGGTATCACTGCTGCAGGTTCACTGTATCATTATGCATTGGGGAACTGCTGCTGCAGAGATTGTTCCAGCACAGACGCAGCTTGATGAAAACTCCCACCGCTAACACAGCTTCTGCTTTACTACAGTCTGACAGAGAGCAATGTAAAAATAAGGGAGTTTCTCTACATTACAAATATGAGAAGGGTCGGAATGAAAGGTTTAGCAATCATGACGATTTTATATTAAAAATCATGAAGTAAACTCAACACAAACCCCACCCACTCAGTAACTTACCTCAATACTTCAGTGAAGGCTTTCAGCCCTTCTTTTGAAGTCATTCTTTCCTCAAAGGCAACAGTGCCTGAACTGCAGATGCTCCCATAACTCCTATAGAAGAATCAAGGCTTGCATCCAAAACATAGCAGCTTTGTGCTTTCAGTCACTCCTATTTTAAGTTTTTAAGAATTACATGTTTCGATTTTAAGGCCTTTTGCACCTGCCTATTAGCTTAAAAAAAATCTAACCTAATTATTAAATCTTAGCCAAGCTGATACTGAAACAGCGTGGTCTTAAGAACTAAGCCCTTAAAAAAAATTAAAAAAATTGCAGGTACAAATAAGTAAGACTAACTGGTACTATTTTACTTTTAAAAATAGTGACTATTAATAGTGACTAATAGCTCTCAGGAAAAAGTTTTTATAAAAAGCATGATTATACAATTAAGTATCCATATGAATAAGAAGCAAATTGGGGGCTGCAAAATGCTGTCACTTCAACTTTCCACATGAGAGTTACGTAGGAGCCTTCAGAGCACCCAACTGCTTGTTTCCAGAGACCTGGGATTTTCAGGTAAGCTTGTTCACTGCCCGCACTCCTGCTGGCGTGATGTCGCTCCACAGTGCTTTAAGCCAAAGGCCGTATTTACAGTCAAGCCTTGAGGGAAAATTGTATCACTTGTTTAAAAAGAAAAAAGTTTCTTCATCCTCTATGTCCCCCTCTACTGATTCGGAGAGATTAAACATCTCCTTTACAAAGGTCAAGGTTATATTCACAGTTAAAATGTAGGGGAAAAAATGGAGATAATAATTAACCAGTAACCATTGGAACACGTTTCCCAATAAGCTGCTTCAAACTCACCTAGTTCGAACTATACATAAACTAGAACAAATTGTTTTATTACTGCAGAAAAAGCATGTGCTGTTCTCATTTAACCCTAGAAGAACAAAGAAATGCTGACTGTTGATAGAATTAAAAGTTACCTTTTAAAATACTGGAGACAAAATGCACTATTAGTTTCTCCAAAGTACACTATATAATAATTTACTTAAATAGTACAGGTGTAAACATAACTGATGGAGTAACAATTGAAAGACCTGAAACCACAAAATGGTTAGAGAAACATCACGTGGAAACCAAAGCCACCTGGGAAAGAATTCAACAGATTTTCCTGAGGTTGAATAGCTTGAGTGAAATGAAAAGAACCAGAATCGAGGCTTAAGTCCAAAGAGCTAAGTGGAAAACCAATCTTTTCAAACAGCATGTTCTGTGGTATATTTATGATTACAATCATATCAATTTTTATTCAATAGTTGTCTTAAATCCATCTGAAAATAAAAGGCAGTGTTGACTACCACTAGAAAATTGCAAATAAAATGTTTAATTTCAGAAACTGAGTTCACCATTTATAAATACACTAAAACATAGTAAATGCAAAATTAGATTAGGCATAGGTACAGTATTTTAACAAAGCTACAACTTTTCTAAAAGGTCATAGGCAAATGATGACTTGTTTCCCAAAAAGTATTCAATGAAAACTGAAATGAGAAGATCAATCTTTCTAGAGTTAAAAACCATGGAGAACATTCCTTTCAAATTAAAATGCTGGCTATTTCTTTTCCATCTTATTTGAAGTTTTGAGGGCTCTACATCCCATTTGCCTGATGGACACCAACAGTTAAGAATCAACCCTACTACATAAAATTCTAAGCAGTGCACCATATCCATAAGGCTATTACTGAAAATCAGAAGATCAGTTATTTCTGAACTAGGAGCTTTAAGACAGGCTGTTCTACACAACTGAAATTAGGTTAGAAGTAAGGGCTCAATTTTTACAATAGGGAACCTTATAGTTTCGATGCACTAAAGATTAGAATAGGCTTTATAATGACTATTAGAGTCTTCATGGTAAGTTTCTTGCCTTTTTTGTACACGGCATTAAATAACAAGCATTAATTCACAAACTTTGATAAGACTTCCAAAGAGCTTTTATAAATACCCAGAATATTTCTGTAGTTCAGTTAAAATGTAAAACCTGAACAGGAGAACCCAGAATGGGAAGTTTTACTACCGATTGCTGTATAACTGACATTCCATATCATCTCAAATTTAAGATTTTTTTTCAGATACTAAGTCAATAGTCTCCTGTAAACACATCTTCTTCAATAACTCTTCTTAATCCTCTAAGTACTTTAGGGCTTGCAGTTAAAAACACCACATGATAAAAAGACGGCTTGAACCCCCATCTTTCATGTACAGCTTTCTTTTGACAACTACAAAAGCTGTTTTGTTGCAATTAAAGCAATGTTTCAACTAAAATACAGTACCTGGTTTATGGTTTTTTACATAATAATTGAATAAAAAACTACAGAATAGAACTGTTTACATCTTTTTTTTGCCATTCTATTAAAACAAACAACTGAGCTTTTTTAAAGTTCATTTACAATTATGGATTAAAACCTACATAATTTTGTATAATTTGACAAGACAGGCTATCTCTAGTGTGAACTTTTAAAAAACATATATACAATATCTGGCCTGAAGTACTATGAATAAGGCACATGTAGACATATTGAAAGCTGAAAAAAATGAAACTAAAATTTGGAATTATAGTCACTGATTAGATGTCATACATGGCCCCCATTGGAGCAATTTAAAAATTGAAGTTATAGATAGTTAATATCCAGTGAGCAACAATAGATTTAGTCTAGCAGTTTGTTCATTAGTTTCAATACTGGAAGTATATTAAAGGAAGATTCACTTTCAAAAAGATAAGCTTTTCAAAGTGTTCAATCATTAACCTTGACTGACTAAAGTTGTTGCTTTCATTGGATGTACTGAACAATCTCTCTGAAGGAACAATGCTTGGTGGACAACCCAAGAACCTGACAGCCAATTTTGACAGTACTGGCCAAGATGACTTCTTAAAATTCCAGTAAGTTAGAGGATCACAGTTATGCTCAAGCACTTCTTCTTCCAAGTAAGAAAGCACCATTTCCTCTGGTAACTTTGCTCTTTCTTTCAGGTCTTTTGTTTTCTTCATGTCACCCATGAGTGACCAAAGATTATCTTCCCCATATGAGTTTGTAGATGGTGAACCTATATCACATCCATTGGAAACAGGTTTATCATCATCTGAGGTAGAACTCATTATTTCCAGCTCCCTGATTAAGTCTTGTTTATATTGTTCAGCCTCCTCTTCTGAAAATAAGGATGTTTTATACCGGGGATCCAGAAGTGTAGCAAAAATGTACCTTGGATCATGAAGCGTGGAGGACAATCTACTCACCATAGCTTCTTTCAAAGATTTCAGCATAGTATCTATGCCCATTGTTTCCTCAAATAGCATTTCTATTTTCCTGTTAAGTATGTGAATCATGGGAATCACTTGGCTTAGAGTAGACATGTGTGTGCTCATCTCCCTACTTGCAGCTTCGAAAGGTTTGAGAGCATGACACACCGACTGCATGACTTCCCACTGATCACAACTAATTAGCTCCCGAAAGCTGCACTCTATTGACATTTCATCAATTGCTCTTTTCTGTTCGATAAGACGTTCAAGCATATGAAATGATGTATTCCACTTTGATGGAACATCTTGTATTAGCTGATGCTGAGGCAACTCATACTCTTTTTGCAACTCAGCTAACTTCTCTTTTGCCTTTGCTGACCGATGGACGCGTTCACAGATCTTTCTTGCAATACTAAGCAAATTCTGAACCATTCTCTGGCTTTTAATAGCCTCATTTACAATGACATTAACAGTGTGACTAAAACATTGTACACTTGAATGATCACCTTCATTTAAAGTTTTCTCTATACTCTGATTATCGGTAACAGTAATCCCAATCTGAAGGCCAATGGAAGTAATCCATGTTTCCCACCAGTACTCTAACTGCTTTTGAATACTGATACCATTGTAGTCGCAATCAATCTGTGATACATTTAATAGTGCTGAACAATGGTAATCCTCACACTGCGGTCGAAATGAAGACTCAAATGTTACCCAATGAGCTGTCAGGGTTAGATATTCTCGTGTTTGGTTGCTCATCCATATTCCGGATGTAAAATGGATCACTCCACTTTCAGCTTCTTTAAGATGTGAAATAATTATTTGCTTTACATTATCATACATATCTGGAATTGCTGTCCTAGAAAAGTAAGATGGAGAAGGTAAAGAATACTGAGGTTGCAAGTATTCAAGCAGCCTGTTAAAGCCAATGTTGTCTACAAAAGAATATGGCTGAAGGTCAAGTGCAATCATTTCGGCTACAAGACTTGTGATTTTTTTGGCAACTGGGTGAGAGTCACAAAACTTGTCATTGGTTTCATCAAAGTTTGAAGATCCTAGTAATTCTGTGCTCAGTGGCACGTGATTATCCGTAGATGAGGATAATACCGTCTCTGAGACATCAGTTTTCAATACATTGTTATGAAACCGCTGCAAATGTCTTAAAAGGCAACTTGTGCCTAGATTTGTTGGCTTTTTCCCCCTACTTATTGTACGTCCACAGTGCATACATATCACTTTAGTTGAATCTGCAGAACAAATTGAAAAGTGATTCCACAGTTTTGAGGTCTTCTTACTATTAACAGGAAATATAATTTGATTATCATGTGTAACCATTGTAGGCAAGTCAGTCAACTTTGAGGACGAACATTCTGCAGAAGCCAAAGTAGCGTAAGGAGAATTTGCCAAACTCATATCAAGAAAGCCCTTTTGGTTTCCAATTACATCGGGATGGCGTCTATACAGATGTCTCATCAAGCAGCTTGTGCCCACATCTCCTTTCTTACCACGGCTTATCATACAACTGCAGTATCTACATACTGCTTTTAGACTGTCTGCAGGTGACAGTGAAAAGTGGTGCCAAACTTCAGATTTCAGCCTTTTCATAATCCTTTTATTTTGCTGAAATACAGCAGTAGGTTCAAATATTAGTGGACCTAATCCCTCACACTGTTTCTCAGGAGATGAAACAAAGGAGACTTCACCTATATCATCAGAAGATGACAGCATTGAGTCTTCCACTAGAGCATCTCCAGAAGAGAGATTAGTATGGATCTCCTCAGAGATTCTATCTGGAGAAGAAGAAACAGAAGTTGATTCTTTCATTAGTTTTCCAGGAGAGGATGACATAGAATTCAGATCACTATCTGAGGGTAGTAAAGAAGGCAACAGAGTTGGAGGTGCAGTGTAGAGAGGTGGTATGCTGGTACCACCCCCATTCTCTTGCAGGACAATGGAACGATGGGCTCTCCACATGTGTCTTATTAAACAACTCGTTCCCAGGTCTTTTCCATTTTTTCCTCTACTGAATTCATTCATGCAGTGGATGCAAACAGCTTTAGAATTATCTAGCGGCGACAAATAAAAGTGTTTCCAGACAGCAGATCTCCTTCTGGAGCCCGACGTGCTCTTTGGAATTACAACAGTTTTTTCTGCTACATTCTCCACAGTGTCATCATACTGGTTGTTGGGTAGCTGTGGAGATGACCCAACCATGACTTCTTCTTTGCTGCACTTTTCAGAAACTGAGAGATCTGATATTTCTTCAGAAGAAACAATAGAAACAGATTCCTCGATTATTCGATCTGGAGACGGTATTTTGGAAGCCATTTTCTTGACCAGTTTTATGGGGGACAACATAGAACTCAGATCTCCAACATCTGCGGACTGAGGCTGCAGTAACAATGTAGATGAAGAAAAGGAGGATATACCTGGCATACTTCCATTTTCTTGAATAAGTACAGTGGGGTGGGCTCTCCTCACGTGTCTCATGAGACAACTTGTACTCAGGTCCTTTTCATTTTTACCCCTGCTAAATTCTTTCATACAGTACATACATATTGCTTTAGTGCTATCTCTAGGAGATATAAAAAAATGGTTCCAAGCAGGTGACTTTTTTCTGGAGCTTATGTTTCTGCTAGAAAGGAGGCTTTGTGTCACAGCTTCCATTGCTACATCATACAGCGTACTACTATACTGAGAAAAAAGAGATCCATAATCATCTTCACTTTCTGTAGATAAATATTTGCCAGGGTTGTTGGTAATGAAGTTCTTTTCTTTGTCTTCCTGTTCATCACCGCTGTCTGCATTTTTGAAATCATCTTGTTCTGTCTTTATATCCATTCTTTCCAGAGTACAGTTAATGCCGTCTTCCTCTTGCTCTACTTTTAAGTTATTGATTTTACCCAATACAAAATTACCATCCATTCTGGGGGAACCTGCTCTACTCTTGTCCATGGATGACAAATTCTTCTTGCCAAGTCTTCATTGATTAATAAATACGATAATTTAAAAGATTATTTAAAATTTGATTAAAATGATGTATCTTGTATACTGGATGCACAAACACAAATGTGCGTATGTGTTAAAATAATCTCTGGTTTATAAATTCTGTATCCGTGTTGTGCAGAAGCAAATATGATTAGTCATAAAAATGCATTAAAAATTATAGAATTAATTAATGGAATCTCTTTTTTTTCCCCAGGATCAGGACATTTCAGGTCATAGATGAATGTTCTCAAAGACAGCTACTGTTAAATGCTTCATGTTGTAGACATAATCCTAAAAAATGAATGTTCTATTTTCTTGTTGAAGGAAGCCATTCTGTTCATCTTGATTGGACAACTGCGATTCTTTTGCACCATCTAGAAATAAAAAAAACCAGAAGACAAAGTTGACTAACACATTTTAAATAACTACAGTAAAGGTGAACTGAAAACATGCACTAAATATTCTGTAGGGCTTTTTTTAATTCCCTTTGAGATAAAAACAATTCAGCATGCTATTGAAAAAAAGAAGAAACTCCAACATTTATTCAACACATTTGTTGTGAGCAAATACATGTCCACACATGCAGCTCTGGTTCAGCTTTGACAAAATCTAGAGTCCAAGCATCACTTTTGTACTTGCTTGGACATCCTACATCAACCACTGCATAATTGTATTACACATATATATACAAACATATACTATATAGGTCTCTATATCTACAGATATATATGAAGACAAGCAGGCATTTAATCACATTAGCACAGAAATATGTACTTAAACCCAAATGTTAAGTTATATACTCTTGTACATGCAAGCCCTTCATTGCTGACAGCAGTGTGTAAAAATACAACATTTTACAAGAAAACTCTGAAAGGGTGTCCAGTGTTGTCACACTAATCTCTCTCCCTCTGATCATAGCTTTACATGGTTATATTCATGCTGTAACACTCGCAGACAACACCATACTACAGAAAAAAGCTACTTTTAGAGTTTCACAATTGAAAACTGAAATGCTTAATTTAGGCTAACTGGGCTATACAAATGCCATATATAGACTGAGGTGTCCCAAAAGCATTACATCATCACTCAGAAGCAAAGACAGATACGGTTGCATACGCTTGTGCATAGTGCAGCACTGCCAGCTCAGGTTCCTCAAGTGCCCAAGGATTATACTAGAAAACCCATTTACACCAAGACAGCTTGTTCTCTTCATGGGTAAAGATTTCCCCCACCAATTCCAGTACAAAGAGCAGGTTTTGGAAGTACAGCTGCATATAAATCACAGGGCAACAACAGGCTCAAAGAACAGATACCTCCCACCCACCCTATACAAAACTGAAGAAGCTGTCTGCATTTGTCAGCCCCTTTTTTCTTCTTTTTACTGCAGTTCTATCAGAATTCTAAATTTTACCAAACCCTTTCTCACTTATTCTCTTGTGTCATTAATACAGTTATTGGTACCTTCATTCAAAATAACATTTTTTGACCCTGCAGCTGATGCTACACTATGCACTCCAATTATGCAAACTGGATTTTATGGGACTCTCTCCCCAGCTGAAGACAAAACAAGTTTGAATTGGTTATTTTAAAAACTTCTCACACAATTTTCATGTGTTACTCAAACCCAAGAAGGATTTCAGCACGCAAAAGGTGAAATAGCCATAGCTACAAGACACATAAAAGAAAAAGTCTAGGTTGTACTCAGGCATTTCCCCCTGTATCAAGACCAATGTCGTATTAGCTTTGTAACCTATTTTAATTAATATTTCTCTGAGGTCTATTTACAAGAGGGACCAGAAACACTTATTTTCTGTGGATTTCAGACTTCCAGAAAGCCTACTGTAGCACTAACTTTCTTTTCCAGTGCAGGGGGAGGGGCAGGGAAAAGCACAGCAATCAGTTTATTGCAGCTATTTTCATAAGAAGGACATGGAGCTGTTGGAGCAAGTCCAGAGGAGGGCCATGAAGACGATCAGAGGGCTGGAGCACCTCTCCTGTGAAGACAGGCTGTGAGAGTCGGGATCGTTCAGCCTGGAGAAGAGAAGGCTCCGGGGAGATCTAATTGCGGCTTACCAGTACCTGAAGGGGCCTACAGGAAAGATGGAGAGGGACTGTTTATCAGGGAGTGTAGTGACAGGACAAGGGGTAATGGGTTTAAGCTGAAGGAGGGTCGGTTTAGATTAGATGTTAGAAAGAAATTCTTTACTGTTAGAGTGGTGAGGCACTGGAACAGGTTGCCCAGAGAAGCTGTGGATGCCCCATCCCTGGAAGTGTTCAAGGCCAGGTTGGATGAGGCTTTGGGCAACGTGGTCTAGTGCAGGGTGTCCCTGCCCGTGGCGGGGGGGGTTGGAACTAGATGATCTTTAAGGTCCCTTCCAACCCAAACCACTCTATAATAAAATTTTAAGAAAAGGGAGATGGAGCAGTCAGAACCTACAAAAAGGAAGGCAGTAACTCTGGTTTTCTTTCCGTTAAAGTTTTAGTATTTGTGCTCTGCCTTCCTCTCTCCTCCTCAGACACATGAAAAAAAAAAAAGTTTTCAGATACCAAAAAGATATAAGGGTTGAACATGAAGAACATCAGTTCTAACAAAGTGAGAGACTTGAATAAAAAGAAAAACCTTAAATTTCTAGAAGAAATTTAAACACAGTACTTTCCACAAGTTTGTGAAATCACATCTAAGAACAACTCTGGCAACAGAGACTAAGGTTATATCACTCAGTAGAAAAGTGAATGAAACACAAGTTAGCGATCACACGCACACTGATGATATGGAAGCCTGTGCATCTAGGACAAGAGAGAGAGAGAGTGTAAGATAAATTTTTATTAGAAATCAATCTAAGAGGATTTTTTTTCCAATCTTTATTTCGATCTAATCTGTGAATTTGGAGCTTGTACAGCAAACAGGAAGAGCAAGTATATTAAGCTTTTGTGACTTAGGATCACAAAATAAAAAGGCTCACAAGCAAATGACTCCATGCAGAGCTTACAGAACATAAATTATGCATCTAAGTGCCAAATTACAGTAGGCACATTACAGATTCCTAGCTAGAGTTGCACAAGATACACGCACACATCCATGGCATCAGGTTATGTGAAGTTGTGCACAATTTCTTTGCCTCAAAACAGGTAATCACATCTCTAGCCTGCAAGTCCTCTTACTTCTTAACTATGCAAAACCAGTTGTAGGCTTTGAACAGAAAAATCCGAGGAGATGCTTCACTTGCCCCTGTCCTGATAGGCAGTTAGTGCTTAACACAGCTAAGCATAAGGTAGCTGTAATGGGAAGATTTGGAAACCTGATAAATGAGACCAGTCGCAAACTTCCTAACAATACTTAACTAGATTGACATTCATTAACAATACACACTGCCAATGGTTAAGTTCTTAACCATTATCATCCATTATCACTACATATTCAAACAGTTAGGCCCTAATCATCTTATCCTAAATTAGCTTTGAGTACACACCACTGCTGAGATGATGCCATGTAGTTAAATACTGATGGCTGTGGTCCTTGATGGTCTTAGGTGCTGAGTTGAGGTGAATAGGTGAGAGCTTGTGTGGACTCTGAAGCAGGAACTGTGGTGGTGGACTTCTTTCTTCCTTATTTCTCCTTGCTGTTGCTGGGTGGTTTTTAATGCTCATGATCTCCTCCACCAAAAAAGGGTATGGGAAGCAATCTCATCTGTTTTATTTATCTTCTTTAGGACCAGAAACTGTTCTGGTTCCACCAGAAGTATTTTCTCCTTATTCTGTATCCTTTGGTTTTGCTTGCAGATTTTACTACTTGAATTGTTGATTCATGGTTTTCTGTCCCCTATTTGTGCAATTAAACATAGGACTCCCTCTGCATCTACATATTATTTCTACACTTATGCTTAGCTGTAATATAACATGCTTTCATGCTGTTAGGAGGGTTGTGCTATTAGCAGTGTTACAAAGTGCTTATATACTGTGGCCAGTGACACTATTTTAGTGTACTTATGATTGAGTTTAGGACACTCAAACATTAATTATCTTTTTTCAACTTTATGGCCATTACAGGTCTCTGGTTACACAGTACATATTTTTCTATGCATTGTTGCTGCCTTCTTGGAATGCAGAATAACCGAGATTCTTAGAGGAGACTCGTTAGGGCTGCTAGATCACTTCCTGGGAAATCCCCAAAATTGGATGCCCCTTAGAAGATTTAGCATGCATTTTTTTTCCATTTTCTTTCTAACATCTAAGCATGGTATCTATTAATTTGAGTGTTACTACATCATAGTGTAAATTCAGTCAAGCTCCCTCCCTTCAAATACCCTTGAGGGTTCAACCCAAGTTTTCTTTAGAATACAGTCCGCAAAATGCTTGAAGTTAGAAAAATAGGTATGTTTTTCACCTTCCCCCTCCCATGCCAGCTCTATGTAAGAGTCAACCTGTTTTAAAAACAAATAAAACACTCCATCCCATGTTAAAATTTTATAGTAACCTAGACAATGAGAATTTGCTTATGAGCACCTTTACACAGCTTATTTATCCTTGGACACAATCTACTCGAAGTTAAGGACTACTGCTAAACAGGATATTCAAGGAGAAAGAATGTTTTCAAAGGTACAAAAGGCTACAGGCAGTGAGCTCAAAATTAAAGTGATTTATGCCTTTGAAATCTCCTCAATTAGATACAGACAAGCAGGGATACAAAGAGATGTAAGAGTCACCTTGCAACAAAAATCTTCAAAGAAAATAAATGGAACTAGAGAACAATTATCTACTCAAATGTACTGCTCTAGACTATTAGCTCCTAAGTGGCTGTAGACAGTCAGTGGTTTGCTGTGGTAAGAAGCCTACAGAAACATTTTATAGGATTTTTTCATTCAAAATGGGATTACTGAAAGCCTATGGTGGTTGACAAGAAATGTTAGGAGAATGTCACTGATCCAGAGTGCCACAGCAGACTGCCATGACCAGAAGAAGACAGCACTGAAGGAAGGGGGAGAGAGAAACACTGGTGTTTTGGGATTGCAGAGACATACATTAACATACAGAGAAATATGGAAAGTATGCAAGAACACTGAACCATGAACAGATTATTTGTTTGCAAAGGAGATAGTGGCCTGCAAGCTTTAAACAATTTTAGGTTGAGTAGTCAGGCAATAATCACAGACTTGACTATATTACAGAATCTTAGAGCAAATAATGGTCTAGAGAAAGTAATTTAAAACAACAAAAAAAATTATTACACAAGTGCATATAGTATAAATATAAACAGACACACCTGCAAAATGTAGGAGTAG